CACGGACAGGGGCTGCTTTCAAAGAGCAGCATCTGTCCATGGGAGGCCTGAGTTTGCCGTGGACAGAGGCTGTTCTGCAGGATGCCAGCTAGCCTGTCTGCCATGGTAAAATAGGAGATATTTTTAAACAGACTCCCCTTGCAATCATTAAATTAATTGATGTCAAACATCTCTACTTTACACAGTCTTTAGATAATTTTTTTGCTATGTGCTTAAAATAACTCCTCTTTTTCTCCTAAAAGCTCCTCTCTCCATCTTCCTTTACATTTTCATCTTTTATTTAATTTGCCTTTTGCTTTTTAAAATTTATTTCATTTTTTACTCTTTTTTCAAACTTTTCCTTTAAATCCTTAGATCTCTCCTTTATCAACATAACAAAAAAATCTTTCTGCCGCTTGTTGTTTTCTCTCCTTTGTACAGGCTCTCAAGCTATTTTTTCTGCAATTTGCTTTCTTATACTCTGTCTTAAAATAACTCCTGTTTTCTTCATGTATTTAATTAGCCTTTTGCTTTTTAAAATTTATTTCAATTTTTCATTCTTTTTTACTCTTTTTCTTAGTTTTTTGCTGGTGTTTTCTGTGCTTTCCCTCTTTAACACAGCTTTCTGTGCTGCTTACTTACTAAAAAGGTTCTTTCTCTTGCTATTTTCTCTCCTTTACACTAGGTATGATGATCCTGGGCTTATCAGTTAATCTTTTCCTCTAAATGCACTCCTCCTCTTCCTCGGTTCCTTTGTATCCTGCAGAGCCACTTGCTTTCTCCACTCCCCGTGCTGCTGCCTGTGATAGAGAGGCAGCAGCATGGAGAGGTGGGGGGCAGGTGGGAGCCAGTACATGCAGGAAGCCAGCTTTCAAATCGGCTCTCCATGCATATTGGTCTCCACGGAGCCACTTGCCCCTCTGCACTGCTGCCTGCCTGTCAGATTACTTTCTGTACTTACTTTTATCCAGTCTTCTTACCTACAAAGAAGGTGCTTTTTCTCTTGCTGTTTTCTCTACTATAAACCGACTGTCTAGCTAAAGTTTTTGCTATGTGCTTTATTTAATTCTACCTTGAAATAACTCCTATGTTTTCCTCTACAAGCCTTTTTGCCCCATTTTAGACTTTCTTTATATTTTCCTTTTTTATTTAATTAGCCTTTTGTTTTTACAGTTTTATTTCATTTTTTACTCTTTGTAAAACTTTGCCTTTAAATCCCTCTATACTTAAGCAGCCTATTTAAGCAGTCTCTTCTTTCATAACTCCATTCCTTATACACCAAAACAAAAACTATGATTTTTTTAAAACTTGCTTTCTTTAAAGTCTCTTTCTTGTCTGTCTTAATGTATCCAATAAAAAAAGCAACCAGATGTATCAAAACATGAGCATGCAACATTGGTCTGGCCAAAAATAGTAATAAAATAAAATTAAATTAAAATAAAATAAAACATTCAAAATGGCTTATACCATGAAACTTGTACATGACCAGAAATGGAGATGGAATAGGATGTTAACCATTAATAGAACATGGAAACTTGTCAAGAAGTAAATGGTGATGAATTCTATTGATACACATACTACTCTGGCTAATAGCCATTGATGAACTATCCTCCACACATTTATCTAGTAGTTCTGTTTTGAACCTTGTGAAGATTTTCACAAGTTAACTGTGTGTTATGTGAAGAAATACTTCCATTTATTTGTTTTAAATTGCTTCCTATTATTTTCATTTGGTTACCCATAGTTCTTATATTATGGGAAGGAGTAAATATCACTTTCTTATTGACTTACTCTACACCAGGCATGATTTAATAGGCCTTAATCATATCTTCCCTTAGTCATCTCATTTCCAAGCTGAAAAGTCCCGTTTGTATTAATCTTTCCTCATATGTAAGCGGTTCCATAACCCCAATCATTTTGTTGCCCTTTTCTGAACCTTTTTCAATTACAATATATCTTTTTTTGGATGCGGTGATGATATCTGCACACAGTATTCAAGATGTGGGCAGTCCATGAATTTACATAGAAGCAATATATCTTTCTTTTTATGTATCACTTTCTTAATGATTCCCAGCTCTTTTTTACTGCCACTGCACACTGAGCGGTTGTTTTCAAAGAACTATGCGTGACTCCAAGATCTTTTTTTTTTTTGAGTGGCAAAAGCTACTTTAGAGCTCATAATTTTATTTGTATAGTTTAGAGTATGTTTTCCATTGTACATTACTTTGCATTTATCTGCCATTTTGTTGCTTCTCTTCCCAGTTTTGAGAGTACCTTTTTTTTAGTTCTTTGTATTCTGCCTGGGATTTAGCTATCTTGAGCAGTTTTATATCATCTACAATTTTGCCACCTCACAAATTATCCTTTTTCAAAGTTTATTTATGAATTTTTTTGGAAAGTACTGGTCTCAGAACAGACCCCTGGGGAACACCACTATTTACCTCACTCCATTCTGAAAACTAACCATTTGTACTGACTTTTTGTTTCCTATCTTTTAACCATTTACCAATCAAAGAGAGGACTTTCCCTCTAATCTCATGACAACTTACTTCGTTTAAGACACTTTGGTGAGGGGACACTTTCTATTATATTCACTTGATTACATTTGTCCACATGCTTATTGGTCCTTTCAAAGAATGCTAGTAGATTGGTGAAGCATTATTTCCCTTTACAAAAACCTTGACATGTCCCCCAACAAAATATGTTCATTCATATGTCTGACAATTCTGTCTTTTACTATAATTTCAGAACCTGAGTCAGGCTACCCAAGTCATCTCTAGAGCCCCCTTTTTAAAAATTGGTTTCACATTTGCTATCTTCCAGTCATTTGATATAGTAGCTGATTTAAAAGATAGGTTAAACACTACAGTTCTGCAATATCACATTTGAGTTCCTTCAGAACTCTTGGGTGAATGCTGTCTGGTCCCAGTGCCTTATTACTGTTTAATTTAGCAATTTGTTCCAAAACCTCCTTTAATGTCATCTCAATCTGGGACAGTTCCTCAAATCTGTCACCTAAAAAGAATGCTCAGGTTTGGGAATCTCCTTCACATTTTCAGCCTTAAAGATCGATGCAAATAATTAATTTAGTTTCTCCACAATAACACTATCATCCTTGAAAGTCTCATTTATGTACCTCTCTATCTCCCTTAGCTCCTTCAGTTTAGCTACTCTGTTCTCCAAAGCCTATACATGGTCTCTGAGGGCCAGCAGCTCTGTGCACTGAATGCATACACGTGAGCTGCATACTCGTGCGCGCGCGCACAGACACACACACACACACACAGCCTGCGGATAAGCCAGGTAGTTTATACATGCTACATTGCATGCAATATATTGGATAGTCCCCAATCTGGATTTTTCTCTGCATTATCTTTTTACTCCTGAAGATGGTTCCATTGTTGTGGCTTTGTTTTTATCAAAGTTTTTTGGTTTTAAATTTACAGAATGTTAAGTGTGTCTACTCCCTCCCCCACTTTCTCCTCTGAACTGTCTTGCAAAACTTCTGTTAGTCACAGTCGGCTTTGCCTAGGAGGTCACTAGGCTCATTGCACACATGGTCACCACAGAATCCCGCAACCAAAAAACCCCACAGTATGTTTCAATCAAGCAGCAAGAACACAGAAACAAGAGGCCCACACACTATAGACAGAAAACTTATCCTTCACCTGGAGAACATTCTCCCAAGTCTCCCTGTTAAGTGTTCCTGTTTGCTAGCTTCTCTGGTTGCTTAGGAGTGGGGTTTTTTTATAGCTCTGGTCTTTCTGCGTAGCCCCTGGTGAAGGACTGATGGGTGCTAACAGGCGTAGTACTCAGACGTTCTCAGTTCTCATCCTTGCCTAGCAGGCTGCTAGGCTCAGTACACTCACAATCACCACATGGTCCCCAAAATAAACAGACCACACAGGATATTTTAGTCAAGCAGCAAATACACCACAAGCAAAGTTACACATGCTACAGAAAACAAAATTACCACCACAAGGGTCACATAATGACTCTTCTTTTACCCAGAGAACTCCCTGACAAAATTCCCATTTGCCACTTCAATTTTCTAGTGTAACAGTGTCAGATACTATGATCTTACATAAAATACAAATTATTTAATATGTTTTATTAATTCCTCACAGAGAAAATCAGTTGATCTAATGGAAGATGATTTATTGATTTGTATAGCATGGGATTATAATGCTCCCTTGGGTGGTGGAATGCAAAAGCAAGCCTGTACCACCACTGTTACTTTATCATTTTGTATAGAGATAAGTACAAGTTTCAGCTCTGGTTCCAAAATTCCAGTGTTTGGCTCTTTGGCTTAGTCTCAGATCCATTCCCATTTTTATTAAGTAAGTGAAGAATAGCTCATACAAATCAAATTGTGGTAGGAATTTAGGTTGGTGTAGAATGCAATTATTTAAGTTGGAATATGGCCAAAATACTATGGTCTTGTCTACACTAAAGAACTGAACCATATGTAATTGAATAAAGTTGTATTGCAGTAGTTGAAGCACTAATTATTCAGTGTGGTCACACTAAACAAGCTAAATCATCCTACACGTTTTCCCTATGTCCATAACAGCACTGTACTAAACCGTTTCACTTGCAATGTCCTATGAGTATCTGTCCCACAGTTGATAGCAATATTTCTCAATATAAAACAGCTGTGGGATAAACAATAATTTTAATGTAAAATTTTTCATTTTGGTCAACATGTTTTGTTTTTGATGAACATTTACCGAGAAAATAAAATGCTTATTCTGAGAAAAGTATTTTGTTTTTCATTCCCCCCCTTTTCTCTTCTATTCCCCATCCCCTCTTTGCAGCAGAAACTTTTATTTACATTTTTTCAAAAACAAAACAAAAAACTAAGTTATATTTCACAAAAAAAAAAAATTGAAATTCCTACCGGACCTTCTACATCAAATAAAACACACAAATATGATATAAAATTAGTAAATTGATATTGTAATTCTAATTGTTTGTTCAAAATATCTTATTAATGTACTCATTCATGATTTTGTTGACAGACAATTCTCAAGCTCTGATTATATTCTTGGCATTCTTGATTATTGTGACATCAGTTGCCTTACTGATCGTCCTGTATAAAATCTATGATCTTCACAGAGAGAAATTAAGGTGAGTTTTACCATCCTTCAGCTCCTATTTTTCAAAAGTAGAAAAATCATTGTGAAAGTTCTATAAAGGAAAGCAATGCTTTAAACATATGTGTTAGTTATTTCATTTGATATTTGAAAAAGAAATATCTCTGCCTTAAAAAGAACAAGACAAAATCAATCATGGATATTTTTAGGTAGTTTTGCATGTTAGCAGAATCTAATATATGAGACGATATCTACATTTTAATCTTTTTCAAGTTGCCAAAGAAACTGGACAGATAATTCACAAATGAATGTTCAAAGGTTCCTCAGTTATGCTGTTGATAGAGCTGGTATCAAAATCTTCATTCTCTCCCTGAGTCAGGATAGGTGACTCATCAAGCCAGCACATCAACTCTTATTAGAATATCCTTGAATGAAGATGAATAACTCTGGATTCTTCAGACACAAGTTACTAGACTTAGTAGGGTGACCCCAGTACGGATCCGTCTCTCCTGGTACCCAGCACCGCATTTTCTTGAGACAACATGTGCGAGACACGCACAGTGTCACATGGCCCCACTTCCCAGATTCCTGCCAGCATTCACACCAGAATGTGGCCAGCAGCAGCCATTCCTCATTGCTTCAGGGAAGGGACAGGAACTGCTTCCAGGTGCAGAGGAGAAGGGCGGGAGGGCGGCAGGAAGTTATGACATGGCCTGCGTTTTTGTAGAGCTCTTCTCTTTCCCCCTTGCTTTCCCTCCCTCCCCCAATGTGACTGAAAGCAGCATGTCCCTTCCATCCCACATAGTGTCAGAAGGCCTGCTGCTGGCTTCCAGCATAACCCAGCCACTTCCTGTCCCCCCTCTGTACTTCCAGCAGGAAAAGGTTAAGCCCTAAGGATGCATTGTGTACCAGAGTCCAGGGAACCTCACTGAAGGAGCTTTAGTGAATCCAGGCAGAGGGATGACTCAGCAGAGGAGTGTGCCTAGGTATTGGAGTAGCCCTGAGCTCCCTGGAGGCAGGATATGGTTGGGGAAGGGGGAGGCATGTGTGGATGAGGGTATTAAGTCCCTGCTTCAGGAGCTGCTGTGGATCCTGCAGATTTGGGTTATGAACAGGCTGGAAATCACTTCCCCTCTCCCTCCTTCACTATTCCAGAGATTAGATGATGGGATATCCTTGAATGAAGGATTTCCTTTGCCAGCACTTTGTAGGGCTTTGGAACATACGGGCTTGGCTCCTTCTGCTCAGTAGCTTGTGTAGAAGGGTTTGGGCTTTCCCAGAGCACCAGCCCAGCCAGATGCAGTGGGTGAAGGAAGGAGCCTGCCAGCCAGTCTGTTGGTGAGCTGAACACTTCAACCAGGGGCTGGTTCTCCACCAAGTGCTGGTAGTGGGATACCCCACGGGGGAGGGGGGGAAGGGGTAGTGGGACACCCCACAAGGGGATAGGGAGGAACAGTAGGGCTTTGAGGGATAAAGGGGCAAAAGAGGGAGATGAAAGTGAGAGGAGGAGCATGTAAAGGGCCAGTGGGTGAGCAACAGAGGTGACATGTAACTGGCCTCCACTTGGTACCTGCTCATGCTCACCAGCCACCACAGCTCACAGTTAGTGCTGGCCAAAAATGGGATAAGGGAAGGGGGGAGCTGAGACAGGGGCTACATTGATGGACTAGCAGGAGGAACAGCCACCCAGCCCACTGTATCTTTGAACTGCTGCCAGCATTGAATATCCATCAGCCTGTGGATTCCCATACTCACCATTAGTATGTGGGTGTCTGGCAAACAGGGATCCAGCCAGCAGCAGGATATACCAGTACTGGTGGGAGTGGGAGACAATTTGCCCTTTTTAAAGAAAAGACAGGACAACTGCACAAGGGTTTAAATACGGGACTGTCCCTTTAAAACAGGACATCTGGTCACCCTAGTTATAGGAGTAACTTGATTCAATTCTATAGCCCCTCTTATACTGGAGATCAGACTAGACTGGAATTAGGGATGTTAAATTTAGTTTAATCAACTAATTGACTAGTCGATGGATTTTCCATAGACTAGTCAATAAGTTCAGGAAACTGCCTCTCGGAAGCTAACCTCACAGTGGCTCTGCTGAGAGGCTTTTAATACATTTAAAAGGTTTGTGCGCAGTGTGGGGGAACCTGGGGTGAGCTGGGAATCAGCTTCCCCTGCTTGCTCTGGGTCCCCTTCTCCAGCTGCGCTTCTGCTTTTTAACTGTATTAAGAGCTAGCAGGCTCTTAATACATTTATAAGCAGTGGTGCAGCATCTGGGATGATCGTGAGCTGGGAATCAGCTGATTCCTGACTTGCTCCCAGGTCCCCGCTATTCCTCTTGTCTCCTTTGTCCCCTGTGGAGATAGTGCAGGAGGAAACCAGCTTTTAAGCCAGCTACCTCCAGCACTGGCTCCTGCTCCCCTCCTTCCTGACTCACTTACATCCCTAATTCGTGTGGTCAATAATTTTTGATGGGGGAGGGGGCACTCAAGGTTTTTCAAGTGGTCAAGGACTGCACTTTTCTGTGAGGGGATGCAGGGTCTGGGACAGAGGTTGGGTGCATAAGGGTGCTTGGGCTAGAGGACTGGGGTGAAAGAAAGGGTGTGGGGTGTGACAGGGAGTTTTAGTGAAGGAGGGGATTGTGATCTGGGGCAGGAGCCTAGGATGCAGTGTCTGGGATGGGGTATGGGTACAGGAAAGAAGTCTTATCCTGGGGCAGGGTGTAGGAAGGCTGCAAAGTTGGAAGATGGGGGGGGTATGTCTACACTACAATGTTAGTTCGAACTAACGGACGTTAGTTTGAACTAACATTCATAGCCGCTACACTAGCGCTCCGCTAGTTCGAATTTGAATCGAACTAGCGGAGCGCTTAGTTCGAACTAGGAAAACCTCATTTTACGAGGATTAAGCCTAGTTCGAACTTACTAGTTCGAATTAAGGGGTGTGTAGCCCCTTAATTCGAACTAGTGGGAGGCTAGCCCTCCCCAGGTTCCCCTGGTGGCCACTCTGGCCAACACCAGGGAAACTCTATGCCCCCCTCCCGGCCCCGGACAAGGGGCACAGGCTGGCTACGGTGCCCGTGCCAGGTGCAAGCCTGCCAGCACCCAGCCAGCAGACCCTGCACCTGGCACGGATT